CAAACCAAAAAAAAAAAAAAAAAAAAAAAAACAACACAAAAAAAACAAAAAAAAACCCAAAAAACAAAACAAAAAAAAAAAAAAAAAAAAAAAAAAAAAAAAAAAAAACCAAACCCAAACGGGTTTTGCCAAAGCAAAGCAGCCTCCAGGTGCCCCAGCACCCCTTGATGCCGGGGAGGAAAGCCAGCACTGTTCCACCTGCCAAGGTGTATCTTTATTTATCAGACTTTGGACCCATTTCCTCCTGATCCCCAGCCAGGCAGGTGCCTTATGCAAAGTGAATAATTCATGAAGACAGCAGGCTCAGGTTGATCTGGCATGGGAGAAGGAAATTAGCATCTAAATGGCCAATTAGAGAAACTCATTTCACTATTCTGATATGCTAAAAAGCTCAGGCTGCAGGCTGGCAGTGTGGCACCTCCCAGCCTCCAGAGAAGCATCAGGTTTCTTAGAAAGAATGGGACAGAGGGAAGCGCTGAGCACGGGCCAGCTTTGTCCAGGAATCCCGTGCAGAAGAGGAGCCTCACGCCAGCCTGTCCCACGGGTAAACTCCAGTGAACCAGGAAAAGAACAGCTCCTGGCCGTGGAGAAACTCTGCTGAGCAGCCAGGCCTCCCCAAAAACTCCCTGTCCTCCGAGCCACAGGCCTGCTGGCACATCTGGGAGATGGAAGAGCTTTTCTCGGCATCCTTAAGGTGGAAAACTGGTTTTAGGCACCCTTGAACAGCACCACAAACGCGGCCGCTGCGAGGCTTTTATCACCCCGGACATCGTTGCTACGAGCAGAAGGAAAGCCGTGGACTTTGACCAGGGGCTGGAGAGCACCTGAGCCAACGTGCAGCACCCCAAAAACCCCGAGGGTGGGCACAGCATGTCACTGTCACCTGCACGTCCAACCTTAATAACCCTCTCCACCCCTATCCTGTTCCCACTTTGATCTAACAGTCGCAAGAATACCCTCAAGACCATCACAAGTACAGTCAAAACCTCCTTCCTAATCAGCTTAATCCCCATAACAACCTACATTTACTCGGGAACAGAAAGCCTAACTTCTTTCTGAGGATGAAAATTCATTACAAACTTCAAAATTCCCATCAGCTTAAAATCAGACTTCTACTCGCCTTCTTCCCTGTCACACTGTTGGTGTGGTATCACCTAAAACCCAGGACAATCCACCCTGCCAGGCTCCCAAAAGCAGGACGTGCTGGTAACTTTTCCACACATCACTTTCACCTCCACCTGTGGCTCGTTTCCCTGCACACCTTTCCCACTCGCAGTCAATTCCCTTCAGAGCCCGAATCCCACCCAGATTCCCAGAAGGGCCGGGGGTGGGAAGGCACCTGCGGAGCTCCTGCAGCCCAGCCCTAGGGCAGGCTCGCAGGTCACATCCCGGCCATCTCCCAGCTGCTCCCGGAGCCTTTCAGGGACCTCTCCCCCGGCTCTGTGTGCCCTGAGCCCCTCCAAGCTGCTCCCCCTTCCCAGAACCCACAAACCCCGGGCACGCCGCTTTTCCTCCCGCCGCCGGCCGCTGGATCCCGGCTCAAACTCCGCCCAAACCGAGCCGAGTTAGGCTGAGCTGAGCCGAGCCGAGCCGAGCCGGGCTGAGCCGCTCCCCCCCGCACCCACCTGCGCTCCGGCCTCACTCGCGGCCGCTCCCGGAGCCGCTGCCCCGGCGGGACGAGGCGGAAACGGAGCCGCACCTGCGCCCGCCCCCGCCCGCCCTCCGCGCGTCCCCTGCTGGTGTCCGGAGCGGCCACCGAGCGGCCCCGAGCGGCCTGGGCACCGCCACATGCGCTGGGAAAGGCTGGAGGGGATGTGGGCACTGCCAGATGTGGATAGGGAGGGCCTGGAGGGGATGTGGGTACAGCCAGATGTGCATTGGGAAAGGCTGGAGGGGTGTGGGTACAGCCGGATGTGGATAGGGAGGGTCTGGAGGGATGTGGGCACAACCAGATGTGCATTGGGAAAGGCTGGAAGGATGTGGGCACAACCAGATGTGCATTGGGAAGGGCTGGAAGGATGTGGGTAGAGCCAGATGTGAATAGGGAGGACCTGGAGGGATGTGGGTACAGCCAGATGTGACCTGGGAGAGGCTGGAGGGGATGTGGGTACAGCCAGATGTGGATAGGGAGGACCTGGAGGGGATGTGGGTACAGCCAGATGTGCCCCAGGTCCTGTGTGAGGTTCTAGACACTGCCAGCTGTTCACCAGGAGCAGAACAGGGCTGTGGGCATAGCCAAATGTGATCCAGGTGAAGCTAAGGGGGATGTGGGCACTGCCAGATGTGCCCCAGAACCTTTTCTGGGCTCTGGGCACTGCCAGATGTGCGTCCCAAAACAGAGCAAGAGCCCACGGGAAAAATACATCCAACCATAAACAAGGAAAGGTGGTACCAAAACAAACTCTGAAAAAGACCAAACAATAAGTTTCCCCAAAAAATAACAACAAAAAAACCCACCCAAACCAGAAACAAAACAAACAAAACTACCCAACCAAACAAACCACAAACCCACACAAACAGAACAAACCCTCCAACAATCAGAAAAAGAAGGAAAAAAATCCCCAAAAACCAAACCAACCCAAAATCCACACAAGAAACAAACAAACAAAAACCCAACCCCAACAAAAAAGGATCTTTAGAACTGAACAAGGGCACCTGCCAGGCCTGGGACAAGCACAGGGGACTCAGACCTTTTAAAACTGAAGGACCCAAACCTCCTGAGCAATCCCAATTACAGACATTTGCTGGTAATAGCAGCAAAATTTGGGTTTGTGGAGGGACAGCCTGAGATCCTGTGGTGAGTCAGCAGCAAATCACAGGAACACAATTATTCCTTTGCACCAGAACACAGGAATTTGGGCTCCTTACTGTCTAAATGTCCAGTTGATGCTGTGAGTAAATTTGCCGTGTGACAGGAAGGGATGGGGGGGGAATTAGGGAGGGGAAAGAGAAAGGAAGAGAAAATAAATTGTGTTTCTATTGCCCATTCAGAGCTGGCTCTTGAGAGATCTGGAGCTTCTGCAAACCCTTTCACCTCCACACATCCACCAGGGTCAGCTCAGGGACCCTCAGCCACCTTGCACCTGAATCAAGCTCAAGTCTAAGCAGATAATTTTCTTTTTGATTCAGGCAACTGTTGAAAAATACATCAGAGGGAGCATTTTGCATGAACACAGAGCCTGCAGCTCCGTGGAAGAAAACACTTGACGATGACATTTCGCACCAGGGTAGTTCTTCCACATAGTCAATAATATAAATAAATTAAACACACAGTTCAGCCAACTTCAGGAAGAAGATAAATTACCTTATTTAACCAGCTGTGCTGGCAGGGAAATAACACACATCTCAGAGCCTGCATCCATCCTGCTGTTGAATTTTTCTTGTCAGGATCCCCACAGTTGCTCCAGAGTCTGCAAGGCTGGGCCTTGGCAGCTGGATGCCACAGAGAATAAATATGATGTTACATTAAAAAATTTTAAAGGCTAAATACAAGGTTTTATCTTTGATAGCACCAAGTCAATTTTTAATAGACTCGTTTCTCCGAAGCCAGGCACTTCCAGTTCCACCCAAAGAACCCTTCAAAGTCTCTCTTTTATCAATGATGGGTTTTGCTGAATTATTCACCAGATCACAGCTGCCAGAGATTTAAAATATCCCCGTGACAAGCACAATGAGGGATAACAACCTCCTCCTGCAGGCTCACCAGTGCTGCTGACAGTGGCACCATGCCTGCCCTCAGCTGATCCCTTCTCCTCTCCTGTGTCACCTCAGGCTGGGATGTTCCCCAAGGAATGGCAAAGAAGGAGCAGCTTTTTGGAGAGGTTGAACTTGGTCCTGCAGAGGAACCACAGGTGCTTAAAAGCAGCTTTATTGTACAGCAGAATGGTCCAAGCTGGGAGAATCCAGGATTCCCAGTTTGGACACTGGGCTGGTGAACACCAGGAGGTCAGCCTGGCTGGATCCTTATCTCTGAGCAGCAATTTCCCAGGAAAACTGGAGCAAGGAGCTGTCTGGCACTGCTTCCCCTTCTGCCTGACTGCCCCAGCTCAGTTCAGCTGCTTCACAATTCACAGCAAGAAGTCCAGGGCTTTTCTCCAAGCTGTTGCTCTGATTGCAATCCTCTGATTCAATTTGTGTTCGTCCCTCTAATTACCTCTCCTTAATAAAATGTCAATGATTCTGTCCCTAATCTGAACCAAAAAGGTCTTGTTTACAGAGCACACCTGCTCAAGGGTGTGCAAGACAAAACAAATGTTGGAGGAATACTGATGCTTCGCAGCAAAATCTGCAGATTTTTTAACCTGTTTTAAATAAAAATTCCCAATTCTGATCCACATTTTGCTTGCATGGGCAAGGCTCAGGTTTAATTCTCCTTTCCCTGTTCACATTGAGCCTGCAGCTCCCACAAGATCATTTCACAAGGCTTCCTTGGTATCCCATGTGTAGATTCATACACAACTTCCATGCCTCTGTGGCACAGGAAAATGATGCACATTTGGGAATAAACTGAGAAATTTAGAGAAATTGCTCAGTGTAGTTGTATCCAAAGTCAAAAAGGGCACTGGGGTTTGCCTGGGGATTTTGCCCTTTCGGGATAACCCAATCTGCTGCCAGGGGCACCCCAGCTCCCAGCCCCTGCAGCAGCAGGATGGGCAGATCAGCCAGGAGAAAGCTGCTCCTACCTGTCCTGACATCCAGGGAAAAGCTGTCAGAAGATGATTTTTTTTACAGGCAGCTCAGGCCAGCAGCTCCCACTGGGCTCTAATTTTGGCTGGCGAGTCAGGTTTTATCATAATAAAATTAACAACATCCACCACTTGTCATCAGCAACAAGTAATCCCCTTCCAAAAATACCACACTGGTATGGATGAATTATTTACACTCCATCACTGCTGCTGCTGCTTTCCTTCTCTTCTGCCCTGTGTCACTGTCCCTTTTATCCACAGGCAGCTCTGGGGACCTTCTGGCTGCTGTCCAGCATCAGCACTGGGCATGAGAGCATGGGTGGGAGCAGGAGCCTGATGCCACCTCCTGTCCCACTGCCACCAGCAGTGCCACATCTGAACACATCAGGACAAAAGAGGAAGGGAGGAGGAGGAAAAAGCACCCAAAAAGGATTAAACCACTTGTTCCTCCCAGGGTGAGGACCTGTAAGAGGAGCATGGATTCAGCAGCTGTTCCTGGAGTTGTGAGGAAGGATTTTCACCTCTGGAGTCTGCCAGGGTCTCACAGCTCTTCCCACCAGCCCCCAGCAGCAAGGACAGAGCTGCACCAGCCCCAAAAACCTCAGAGAGATGCTGCTGCCTCAGAAAATGTGCTTCCACTATTCTGGTGGGAGTAAAGGTGGAGAGGGAGGGAAAGGAAAAGGCAAACTGGGCTAGAGAAAGGGAAACAGGGAGAGGAAGGAAGGGAAAGATGAGTTTCCCTCAGCCCCTTGATTTACAGGGCTGAGGTGTGTGAAGGGATGGGATGATTTGGGGTTTGGTGCTTCCCCTACCAATCCTGCAGCACCTCAGGGCTGGGACAGGGACAAGGGACAAAGGACAGGCACAGCCCTGCACCTGCTCACGCAGGGACAAGGGTAGGGAACGGCTCCCAGTGACAAAGAGGCGAGTCCAGGCTTGTCCCTGTGTCACCCTGCCCTGGAGAGCTGCCGGGAGCGAGGGAAGGCACTGGCATGGAGGGAGGAGAGGGGAAGGGAGAAAGTGAGGAAGAGGAGGAGGCAGGGAAGGGCTGAGGGGAGATGGGGGGAAGGCTCACAGGGGAGGGAGGTGCAGAGGGGTCACAGACAGGAGGGAGGCCACGCTGGGGCTGCTGAATTTCCTCCCTCTGCTCCCTGCCAGGCCATTCCAGGGCTGTTGGGCAGCAGAGGGATGAGGGCAGGAGGAGGAGGAGGAGGGACCCGGGACCCCCTCCAGCGGCTGGCACGAAGCCACCAGGGAGGAAGAAGCCACCACGCAGGAGTGCCACCAGTGCCATCACCGTCAGCACCAGGGCAGGTGAGAAAAACCAGCTTTTCCCAGGAAACCACCGATGGTGATTTAAAAGCTTGCCCTGCCCCCTGTTTATACACAGATTTTCCTCTCTAGCTACAAATTGATCCCAGAGATGGAGCACATGTAACTGCAGTAGGAGGCAGAAGGCACCTGCTGGGGAATAGAGAATTCCATAAACTGCCCGGGAGTTGGGATGCTGTTAATATTTAGGGGATATTTAAATATTCACCCTTGCACTGGGTTACAGCACTGATCTATCAGTCAGGGTGAGTGGTTGGTAAAACTACGCAACTGTCGTAAAAGGTGCCGTAAAGTGCGACTGTCGTAAAAGGTGCCGTAAAGCAAAACTGTCGCAAAAGGTGCCGTAAAGTGCGACTGTCGCAAAAGGTGCCGTAAAGCAAAACTGTCGTAAAAGGTGCCGTAAAGTGCGACTGTCGTAAAAGGTGCCGTAAAGCAAAACTGTCGTAAAAGGTGCCGTAAAGTGCGACTGTCGTAAAAGGTGCAGTAAAGCGCGACTGTCGTAAAAGGTGCCGTAAAGCAAAACTGTCGTAAAGGGTGCCGTAAAGTGCGACTGTCGTAAAGGGTGCCGTAAAGTGCGACTGTCGTAAAAGGTGCCATAAAGCGCGACTGTCGTAAAAGGTGCCGTAAAGCGCGACTGTCGTAAAAGGTGCCGTAAAGCAAAACTGTCGTAAAAGGTGCCGTAAAGCGCGACTGTCGCAAAAGGTGCCGTAAAGCAAAACTGTCGTAAAGGTGCCGTAAAGCAAAACTGTCGTAAAAGGTGCCGTAAAGCGCGACTGTCGTAAAAGGTGCCGTAAAGCGCGACTGTCGTAAAAGGTGCCGTAAAGCGAAACTGTCGTAAAAGGTGCCGTAAAGTGCGACTGTCGCAAAAGGTGCCGTAAAGCGCGACTGTCGTAAAAGGTGCCGTAAAGCAAAACTGTCGTAAAAGGTGCCGTAAAGTGAGACTGTCGTAAAAGGTGCCGTAAAGCGCGACTGTCGTAAAAGGTGCCGTAAAGCAAAACTGTCGTAAAAGGTGCCGTAAAGTGCGACTGTCGTAAAAGGTGCCGTAAAGCAAAACTGTCGCAAAAGGTGCCGTAAAGCAGAACTGTCGCAAAAGGTGCCGTAAAGTGCGACTGTCGTAAAAGGTGCCGTAAAGCGAAACTGTCGTAAAAGGTGCCGTAAAGTGCGACTGTCGCAAAAGGTGCCGTAAAGTGCGACTGTCGTAAAAGGTGCCGTAAAGCAAAACTGTCGTAAAAGGTGCCGTAAAGCAAAACTGTCGTAAAAGGTGCCGTAAAGCAAAACTGTCGTAAAAGGTGCCGTAAAGCAAAACTGTCGTAAAACGTGCCGTAAAGCAAAACTGTCGTAAAAGGTGCCGTAAAGCAAAACTGTCGTAAAAGGTGCCGTAAAGTGCGACTGTCGTAAAACGTGCCGTAAAGCGCGACTGTCGTAAAAGGTGCCGTAAAGCAAAACTGTCGTAAAAGGTGCCGTAAAGCAAAACTGTCGTAAAACGTGCCGTAAAGCAAAACTGTCGTAAAAGGTGCCGTAAAGCAAAACTGTCGTAAAAGGTGCCGTAAAGTGCGACTGTCGTAAAACGTGCCGTAAAGCGCGACTGTCGTAAAAGGTGCCGTAAAGCAAAACTGTCGTAAAAGGTGCCGTAATGCAAAACTGTCGTAAAAGGGCGTGCCGTTCCGGCGTCCTCCCCAGAGACTTTTAGGACACAGGTTTTTAAAGCACTTTTATAGGATCTCCTGCCGGGATCTGCCTGCCGAGGAGGTGGTCCCAGCTCGCTGGGCGCTGCTTGAGCTGTGTTTGCTGCACGGGGGATGCCTGCAGCAGCCACCCCGCCGAGCTCCGCCCCTCCTGTGACTCCGCCCCTCTCCGCCGCGAGTCTCCAGCGGGACACGCCCCCCCCCCCCCCCCCCCCCCCCCCCCCCCCCTCCCGCGCGACCGCACAGCTCCGGCACCCGCGGTCCTGGTCACCCCTGCCGGCCCGCCCCCGCCCTCGTGGCCCCTCCCACCGCTCCCGCCATCCCCGCCTTTGCCACCCCGTTGGCTCCCGCTCTCCCGGCTCCCGCGGGCCCCGCCCCTCAATCCCGCCTCTACGAGCCCCCCCTCCGCGTCACCGCGGCCCCGCCCCCTCCTGCCCCCGCCGCTCCCCCCCCCCCCCTCTACCCGCGAGTGCGGCCGCTCCTGCCGCCCCCCATGTCCCCCTCACCCCCTTTGCCGATACAGCGGGGTCGGCTGTGGCCCCGGTCCCGCCGCTGCTGCTCCGCCTCTGCAGTTCCCTGCAGCTTCCGGATCTGCAGTGCCGAGCACGCCTGGCGCGGCCGCGCCACGCCCCCAGTGCCTCCTGTGCGCGGTGCCGCGGGAAGCTCTGCCCCCCCCCCCGCCCGGCGTTCCAAGCGCACGCAGCGCACCCCGAGCTGCCCACGCGCCCGTCCCTGCCGGCGTTTGGGCGCAATCCCCCGGTCCCGGCACGGCACGACTTGCGCTGGGACCGGAGCGCCCCAGCCCGCCCACCACCCCGTGCCGGCGCCGCGGCGTCTGCACCGGTGGCTGCAGCCTCTGCCGTGCCTGCTGCCGCTCCAGCCCGGCTTCTGCCGTGCCTGCTGCCGCTCAAGCCCAGCCTCTGCCGTGCCTGCTGCCGCTCAAGCCCAGCCTCCCGTCAGCGCCGCCCCTGCCCGCCGGACCAGCAGCCACCCCAGCCCCCAGCGGCCGCACGCCGCGGCCGAGCCGCCGACCAGCCCATCGCTCGCCATGGCCGCCCCGCAGCACCTCCCGCCGCCCCCACGCCGCCCCTCCCGCCACCCCGGGATCATCTCCCGCTGACGAGCCCGCCCCGCCGCCGCCCGTGGTCGCTTTCTGGCTCCTGCCGCCGCCGCTCCATGGCGGGCCGAGCCGTGCCTTCCCCAGCACAGCCTCCCGCTTAAGAGCTGCTGGATGCCGCGGCTCCGCCGCCTCCTGCAGCCACGGCCGTCCCGGCGTTCGCAGCCGCAGCCGCGGCTCCGTTCCCGCAGCTCCGCCGGCACCCCCTACGCAGCCGAGCTTCCGGGATCAGCCGCACGCATGCGCAGTTCTGTCCCCACGGCCCCCCCCCCCGCCGCCGCTGGCCCCCCCCCCACTGGCAAACCGGGCAAGAGAAACAGGAAGGGAAAGGTGAGTTTCCCTCAGCCCCTTGATTTACAGGGCTGAGGTGTGTGAAGGGATGGGATGATTTGGGGTTTGGTGCTTCCCCTGCCAATCCTGCAGCACCCTGGGGCTGGGACAGGGGACAAGGGACAAGGGACAGGCACAGCCCTGCACCTGCTCACGCAGGGACAAGGGTAGGGAACGGCTCCCAGTGACAAAGAGGCGAGTCCAGGCTTGTCCCTGTGTCACCCTGCCCTGGAGAGCTGCCGGGAGCGAGGGAAGGCACTGGCATGGAGGGAGGAGAGGGGAAGGGAGAAAGTGAGGAAGAGGAGGAGGCAGGGAAGGGCTGAGGGGAGATGGGGGGAAGGCTCACAGGGGAGGGAGGTGCAGAGGGGTCACAGACAGGAGGGCGGCCACGCTGGGGCTGCTGAATTTCCTCCCTCTGCTCCCTGCCAGGCCATTCCAGGGCTGTTGGGCAGCAGAGGGATGAGGGCAGGAGGAGGAGGAGGAGGGACCCGGGACCCCCTCCAGCGACTGGCACGAAGCCACCAGGGAGGAAGAAGCCACCACGCAGGAGTGCCACCAGTGCCATCACCGTCAGCACCAGGGCAGGTGAGAAAAACCAGCTTTTCCCAGGAAACCACCGATGGTGATTTAAAAGCTTGCCCTGCCCCCCTGTTTATACACAGATTTTCCTCTCTAGCTACAAATTGATCCCAGAGATGGAGCACATGTAACTGCAGTAGGAGGCAGAAGGCACCTGCTGGGGAATAGAGAATTCCATAAACTGCCCGGGAGTTGGGATGCTGTTAATATTTAGGGGATATTTAAATATTCACCCTTGCACTGGGTTACAGCACTGATCTATCAGTCAGGGTGAGTGGTTGGTAAAACTACAGAAAAGGAAGGGTAAATTCAAAAAATTTTCTGTGCAAAGGAATAATTCCATTCATTTGCTCTGTCTTAGTACAAAAAGTGCCTGAAATTTTCCAGAAATTGTACTATTAAAAAAATAAAATCATATGGCTCACTTTATTAATGGATGGCAGCTTAAAAAAAATCCCCAACAACTCAGAATCAATTTCCTGCTAAAACTGAGTCAGGCAAATGCAGTGAACTTGATGCCAGTGCAGAAGTGCTATTAATGCATTAACAGCTTCAATAAATACATTTTACAGATGTGACAATCCCTATCCTGGCCAATCGGAAAAATATCTATTTCCTACTTAAAAATAAGATTTTTGGGCCATTACTATTTTTCCCATAGATTTGGGGTTGTATTAAGGCACAGCAAGCCGTTGGCTCGTTTTATTTTTGTTTTATGAAATAATCAGGAAAGCCTGAGAGGCAACACTTACCTTTTTTCTAACAGCATTTATCATTTCAACAGCAGAACAAGACCACAAAAGCAGAAAGCAGCGGGCCCACTCCCCTCCAGCACTTCACATCCCAGCTCCTGGGAGGAACCCTGACTCAGCCCAAAGCTCTGCAGAGGGGAATCAGGAAGATGCAAAAATAAACAAGGCTGTAGCATCAGCTGGCAGCATTTTGGGTTCTGCTGGGGCAGGGGAAGGTCTCTGTGCTCAGCTGAGCCAAAGCCTCCGCTGGGATGGGATTCTGGAGGATCCCCAGGCAGAGAGGGAAAGGCTGCAGGTTTATAGGGTGAACAGGAGGAAAAGGTATGAATTGTACATCCAGGAGCACTTCCCAGCTGCCAGGAATTCCCCACCCCTCCATGGCAGCAGCAGGTAAAGGAGATTCCTGCAGTAATTACTTGGAGGAGCAAAAATTGCTGTGCCTGAATGCTGATTGAAGAATTGCTGTGAAATGAATGCTGAAGGAGCCTCCGAGCTGCACTAGGGGTGTCACCCAAAATCCCAACAATTTCTGTATCCTAACAGTGGTTCCTCAATGTCTGTGTGGAGAAAAGGACATTTATATTTTAATAAACAAACCAATCTGTTAAAATATGGCTGCAACTCAGACTGCATCAATAATTAGAAGTGCTCCTTTGCACACTGTGTTTGTGCTAATTATTGCTGTTGGTTTATTTACAAATAACACTGCTAAACTTTCAAAGTATTCATGTTGTACACTGCAGATCTCTGAGCACTTGAAGGACCAGACACCTTGTTTAGAGGCTGAAATTATTTCCAGGCACATGAACTTACCTTCCTTGAAACTGAGCGAGCTGCAAAGTCAGGATGGGAATGCAGCCCTCACCTCCTGGCTTTTGATCCAATTGTTAGGTTGAGTGGTTTATTTTGTAACAAAAATTCATTATCCCAGACCCTCAGATGTGACATTCTGGAGAAGCACATGTGAAAGGGAAATAGCACATCCAGAACAACAGGGCTTCCTTGGAATGGTGGCTGCTAATTAGAAGCTCATTGGGCCAGTATGAATTAAAAATCACATGAGCAGCCTTGTACTCCCCAACTTCAAATTTTTATAGTAAAATAATGTTTTTCATACAGAGTGTCATGACAATATTTAAGGAGAACAGCCCAGCCCTCACTGCAGGAAGATTTGAAAGTTAGGTGACATCTGAAAGTCTCCCTGAAGTTCCCTGAAAAACACTGTGCTGACTTCTCAGGTTTTTTCTTGATGGCTTTTTAAATCGACCCTTTTATACAGCATTGATGTTTATAAGTGGCTTTTCTCCTGTTTAATACTTCAAAACTCCAGGAAACCCAAAAGCTCTCAGAGCCTTTTGCTGGAAGCAGCAGCTTTGCAGCAGCTCCACGGCTCCCCAGACCCCAATAATGTCATTACATGCAACTCTAGAGCTTCCACAAGCACATAACCAGATGAACAATAAAAAAGTAAGCAAAAAATCCCATTAGGAATTAATTAACTGATGTTCAATTACATCCATTCCTGCTCTGCCAGAGTCACTAACAAAATCAGCACGCCTGCAAAATGTGGAAAGGTTAAAAGAACAGATTAAGCATCCAGAAAACCACCAGAGCATTTCTCTCAACACAATAGCTTATAATCATCTCTTTTGGTTTTATAAAGTTTAATGCATAACACACTCTAATCTTATATTTGTGCTATGTTTACTAATGCAGCATTTGAGCATCTACATTTTTAAAATAAATTCCTGCCTGGATAAATACATGTTATATTTGAAAGGGATTAGTTCTTCACTTGTAGGATATGCTGAAATTCATACCAGAAACTCTCTTTAAATACAAAACTGTACCAGATGAACGACTCAAACACATTAAGGAGAGGATTTTCAGCTGTCTTTAAAGAACTTTTTCAACGTCTTACTAAACTGAGAAATCCACAACATTTGGTGTTGGTTTGGTTTTTAATATAGACAGTTTTATATAGGAAACACCCTCCTAGAATATGTAAACAAAAATAGAAGAGAAAGGAGGGGAGATGGGATTGGCAGGAAATATTATGTATTTATTTCTAAGTAACTACCACAATAAACACTGAAAAGCTTTGAATGAGAAATAAAGAGACTTCCCTGCAGGATGGTTTTCAGATCATTTATTACCAATAAAGTAAAAGACAAATTGAAAATCAGAAGGAGGGGGTGGGAAACATCACAGACACCAGAACACTTGCACAGAGCTAATCAGAGCTTTGCAAATGTTGGAACATAAATAATTTAAAATGTATCTCTACCAATTAAAATATCCTTAAGAGGTACACATTAAGTTTGCTTGCTTTATAAAAATCAGGTGCTTTATCCTAAAACCGGAGCGTGAGGGGGCATTTTGTGGGTTATTTTGCTTCTAACTAGGAACAGCTAATGGCTACAACTTAAACCAACCTCCTCTTAGATGTGTTCCAAGTGGATTCCTTGGGAGAGCATTTGTGGGAGCAATCCAGGGTCCGCGTTCTCCCCGAATCCTGTGCCCAGCAGCAGCAGCAGCTGCAGGAGCGAGGGATGGAGCAACCCACCGAGCAGAGTGTGAAACCCCACGGGCTGTGGGGTGAGCTGGGCCCTCTGTTACACCACCAGGACATCCTGGGGCACACTTAGGGCACAATTGCATCATCTCTTTAAGACACATCTCCCCATCTTGCAGCCTGAGACCAAAGTGTTTAAGGGTGACGCCGCGCTGCTCTGAGCTCCGGAGCGCTGCCTGCCCGGCCGTGTCCTCTCTCATCCTGGGATTGTTTTGGGAGCTGCCTCTCTGAGGCAAGTACCAAAAGTGAAGGATGTTCTTTGCTGAGCTAATAAATAAGTAAAAAACCCCAACAAAAACAATAAAAAAAACCCCAAACCATACAAACTCAAGGTTTCCTTCCTGCTGCACTCTTCATCTCCCGACTCCTTTTAGTTCCCTGGGATTCACTTCCACACCATCCATCACACTTGCACAAACACACGTTAAGTACAGCTCAAGAACAGCCTCCCGAGGCTGCCACTGACAAAACTCACCCCTGGGGCTGTGCACTGCCAAGTCCTCTTTAAAAGCTGCTCCAGGACTGGTGTTGCACACCCACACCTTGGGGGAGTTTTGGAACACGTGGGTGTCCAGCTCAGACAGGTCTATCAGGTGTTTCTGAGAGACTACACCACACAAAAAACCAGCACAACCCACGCTCCCCAAAGCAGATGCTCTCAACACTACACTCTGTCAACACAGGAAAAAAAATTCTGGGGAAACAAGGAAACCTCTCTGTCTTATTTTCATCAAGGCACACAATAAACAAATGCACGTAACATCCAGACAGACTTTCATAGTATCTGAAGCTATTCCCTTTGGTCCCCAAACTCATCACACACTCAGGAGAGGATTTTCAGCAGCCTGCAGACAGGCAGAGGCTGCCCCATCCCAGTGACATCCCCAATCCCCAGGACACAGATTTGTGCTATGACAAGCTCAGCTGGGAAGCAGAGCTACAGCTGTGGATTTTGTTATGCACTACAAACCTGCCTGTCCCTTGCTACTTTTACCTCCTCCCAACCCCACCACAACAGTGTCTCACACCCAATCCAGCACCTCCTTGGCCATTCTGGGTCTCTCTGTCCAGCACTTTATCTGAATCTTGCTTTGGTTTACAGCTCCTTTAGTGCACGCAGCCTGTGTGGGCAAAAATAAGGCACTTGTGGTTTTCTACCTCCACATCACCAAGATCCAACAACACAGGGATAATTTCTGGCCTGATATTCTCTGTTACAAGCCCTGCTGCAGGCACAGAAACACTTGTGTGTCACACAGAACAAGGGCTCCTCATCACCCTAAGAACTGGAATCACACAGTCCTGTCTCCGCTGCCTGGAGCTGCAGAAGCAGTTCATCCCCCACTCTGCTCAGAACTCCTTTTCTTCCCAATTTACACCTTCACACAAAATGTGAATGCCACTTGTTAACATTTTTGTATGTGTTAAATGCAGAATTCTGGGGTTTTCTCTGTTAGCCTTTTCCAGCAATTTCCAGGGGATGGTTCTTCTGGAGAAAACATGATCTAAACTGAAATGGCTGACAGCAATATGTGTAACCAAACAACCTGCTGGATCCTCTGCAAGAGAGTGAACTGCCCTTGCTTTTTGCACATCACCAAAGCACCCAATGGATCTCCACCTACCAACCACTACCCCACACTCCTCCTTACCTGTCACCTTTTCCTCTGGGGGAAATCACTTCCCGTTGTTATTTTCACCTGATTACAGCGGGGAAGGGGAGGGAACTCGCGGCTTTCGGGAGGCGAAGAGCCAAGCCCCTCGCCAAGTTATTTTCCCACAGAAAACCACGCTCGGGCTGCCGTGAGGCTTAAAAGCAGGAATTAAGAGCTGAGAGAGGGGGTCTGTGCCTGCTTTTAGCAAGTGGAGTCAGCACAGTACGTGAGGGGCAGATCGGAGCGAGAGGGGCGGCCGCCCTCAGCAGCCATGCAGGCCGCGGTCAGCAGCCGTCCAGGCCGCACTCGGCGCTGAGGCACTCCGAGGTCTCCAGCTCCACGCTGGAGAGGAACCTGCGCGTGGCCTTGCGGCAGTTGTAGTCCAGCGTGGTGGTGTAGACAGTCTTGGCGTGCTTGGGGTAGATGATGGTGGTGCTGGTGAAGCGGCGGGGCCTGTGGCGCGGCTCGAAGCGCACCTCGGCCTTGTAGCTGCGCCACGAGCAGTTGGGCACGCAGACGATGGTCTGGCTGCACGAGGCCACGCTCAGCCCCACGGGCAGGTACACGTCGGCGATGAAGTGCTTCTCCGAGTCGTACCTCAACGAGGAGGTGTACCTGAAACACAAGAGCCTGTGTTTATTATGGAATAATCAGGCAAAATCACTGGGTTGGAAGAGATCTTTACGATCATCGAGTTCAACCCAGCCCCAACAACCCAGCTAAACCAAGTGCCACATCTAGTCTTGTTTTAAACACATCTACCTCCCTGGGCAGAAAGGTGCTCCCTGGGCACCTCATTCCAGTATTTTATAACCCTTTCTGTAAAAATTTTTTTTCTAATATCCAACTTTTATTTCCCTTGGCGTAGCTTGAGACTATATCCGCTGGTTCTGTCAGTGCTGCCTGGAGAAAGAGACCAACCCCACCTGACTGCAACCACTTTTCAGGGAGTTGTAAAGAGTGATAAGGTCACCCCTGAGTCTCCTTTTCTCCAGGCTGAACACCCCCTGCTCCCTCAGTTGTTCCCCAAAGGTTTTATGTTCCAACGCCCTCACCAGCCTCGTTGCCCTCCTCTGGACAATCAAGCTTCTCAATGTCCTTCCCAAACTGAGGGGCCCAAAGAGTGACTACAGTGAGGAAGAAGTAATTCTAATATAAACCACAGAGTTTTAACTATAGCAGTGCAATTGTAGCTTGTAGCTAGGAGAGCATTTCTGTCGGAGACAAGCTCCAGTCACAGAAACACAACCTTTAAACATTGTTGACCTCGTCCATAGAAATAACTCTGTGTAGTCTCAGGCCAGTGATTCTTTAAAGGACAAGGTTTCACATTTGCATGAGTATTCTGGCATCAGCACGACTGATGGGACATCTGAGGTG